GCTCTGGTGGATGCCATCAGTTCAGTAGGATGACTGATATTCTTCTTGCGATTGTTTGATATTTGGTGCCAGAATTACACGGGAATCCTACGAACTAATATGTAATTTTCAGTTCTTACAAATAATCTAAAAATAGAAAATTACAATTGAACTGAAAAAATAAAATACAACTGAAAAATGGAAAGATTTTAGCCGAGGAGAGTATAACTCTTTCCGCAAGAAGAATACGCCCCGTGTGTCTGCTAACGGTTCAGGCGTAACTTCCCCAAAGATACAACGGCAATCGTCTCTAAATCTGTAGCACACCAGATTTACGAGCTCCGGCGAACAAGAACAGAGTCGAAAATTGAGCACTTAAAAATAAAAGGAATATCTTAAAACAAATAAAAATATCATTTGTTTCTCTCTTTTGATATTTTTATATCCGATATTTGGACATAAATCTATCTTTTCTTTCCTTTCTCTTTCTTTCCTCTATTTTTCTCTTCTTCTTTTGTGCATCTTTCTCTTCTGCCGAGCCCCTCTATTTATACTGAAAGCAGAGGCTAACAAATTGGCCAATTGGCCAGTAAATAAATTATTTTATTATTGTTATATTATATATATATATATATTTTTTAATAGATAGTGGACATATGGGGGGCGGTGCTTGTGGGGCGGCACCGCCCCAATTAGATATAGATTCTGACACGGATTGCATGGAGTAATAAGGAAGAGCGGTCAGGACTGATTGGGTGATGTTACTCTCCCGGCCATTGAAAGAGATTTCATCCGCCACCTGTTGAGTCGTGCCTCTGCTTTATTGACGATATGGGAGAAAGTCTCCTTAGTCACACGGCTATGAATAATCGGGACACCAAGATACTTCCCCAAGTTGTCCGTCCACCTAAAATTAAGCAGCTCGGCCATTCTGATTTGATCCTGATGATCCACATTACTAGAGAAAAAAGTAGTGTCTTCTCCGGGATAACTTTAAGCCCTGAGTAATAACAGAAATAGTCGAATACTCGTTTCAGTACTTGGGCCTGGTCATGAGAAGCCTCAAGGAATAGGAGACGTTCATCAACGAACATTAGGAAAGGTACCTTGACGGTCGCTTGGAGCGACGTATTCAAGCCGAAGGACGAAGGAGGATTGGGCATCAAGGACCTCCGACGCATGAATAAGGCGCTGCTAATGAAGTTTGGGTGTGGTCTCTTAACGAAGCGAGATTCCTTATGGGCCCGGGTCTTAACAGCAAAATATGGCTTTGAACCAACACCAACAGCAGAGAGCCTCAAGTGTAGCTAGGGATCTCATCTGATGCAAGCCCTAAAAAAAATCTGGCCAGATGTAAGCCGAGGGGTACAATGGATTATTGGAAATGGAGAGAAGGTCAGATTTTGGCGCGAACCTTGGCTAGGGACGGGAAGACCTCTGATCGATTATCTTCAACCACAGCCGGCCGTAGGAGTGAACGTCGATGCGAAGGTGGCAGAGTATGTGGATGAGTATGGACGGTGGAGATGGGACCTATTTCATGGCCTCTTGTCGTCTGGTGTCATTCTTTGCATTGCTAGCATGCTTCCTCCGAGGGGTTCGGCCAACGAGGATCGCATTTTATGGAACGACTCTCAAGATGGGAAATTCTCAACTAAGTCGGCATACAAGTCTCTTGGACAGGAGGAAATTAACCATGACAAACCTTTGTGGAAGTTAATTTGGCGTGCACCGGCACCGCAAAGGGTTCGTAGCTTCTTGTGGCTTGCGGCTAGGGGAAGACTCTTGACTAACTTGGAGAGAGTCCGGCGACACATAACTAGCTTTGAATTGTGTGACCTGTGTGGAGAGTGCGAATCGCAGCTCCATGTCCTGAGAGATTGTCCGGCGACCAAGGAGTTTTGGGATCGGCTAGTTCCGCGTGACCAGGTTCGTAGTTTCTTTTGGCAGCCCCTTAAAGCGTGGATCAGTACGAATTTGAGCACCAATGTGATTGGAACGATTACCACGTGGAACAACGTCTTTTCTATGAGAGGATATTTAATCAACGTGCTTTAAATCCCGAAGCTAGACAGATGGAGGTTATACGCATGGTGGAGAATTACACTCGGGCGGTCATGTCATATGCTAAAGTAGGAGCCAATGTGTATATCACACGCACAATTCACTGGACCTCGCCTCCCCCGGGTTGGATCAAAGTAAATACAGACGGGGCATTTAGCAACACTACCAGTATAGGGAGCTCTGGAGGGTTGCTAAGAGACGAAGTCGGACGATGGATCGGTGGCTTCTTCATTAACATAGGGATTTGTACCATCGCGGGTGCCGAATTATGGGGGCTCCTACATGGGTTGCAATTGGCATGGGATCTAGGCTTTCGCCAGGTTATTACAGAAGTGGGCAGCCAGTGCGTGTTGAATATGGTGCTGGGATCTAACGGCGACTTTGGAGTTCATACGGCGATCGTACATGCAATACGTCACATGATGCAAAAGAGTTGGGATATGAGGCTCTACCATGTGCATAGAGAAGCTAATTTTTGGCGGATTATATGGCAAGTTTAGCGCCCTTGTCCTCGATAGGCTTCTTGCAACGGTTATCGGACCCTCCTGATGGCCTCGGGCCATGGCTTGATCATGATCTTATGGGGGGTCTCTTACCCCTGGCGCGTTCTAGCCTAAACCAACTTCTTAGGCCTTTGGCCTCCTCTAATGTACCCGAAGAAAAAAAAAAATTGAGGACTAGTGATTATTGAAACTAAATAGAAACTCTAATATTAAAAAATATTTATTACGATAAAAGTAATGTAACCCAAGCTCCAAGAATAACTTTGTGAAAATATGTTCAGTGATTTAGGAATGTTTATATATCGTTTTATTAGTATTTATGTAAACTAAATAATATTTCCTTACAACTTTTATTAAATATGGTAAATCAAAATTTCTCATAACCGAACCATCATCGAACCAATTAAGTTATTTGTTCAATACATTATTAGTTGGACTTGGACCTTGATTTAATTTATTGGTATTAATTAATAGTCGCTTCATTTAAATATGTATTTTTATTCATATTACAAAAAAAATTAAATGTCACAAAGTTTATTTAGAAATTGTACAAATCCTACTGCTACGAGCAACTGGTGTTGATCGGTTCACAAACAAATATTTTATTCAAGCGAAATGGATAAATCGGTTTGCGTTCCACTCGGTCCAGTCCAATTTTAATAAATCATAATTATTATTATTTATATATTTAAATTATAATACCATAGTAATATTGTTCAACCCAGCCATATTAGTTGTTGTCATGTTGTGGCAGGGTATCAGTTATAAGGGGAACTTATTTCCTTTGAAGTTTAAAAAATTTTATTCAACCTTTCCATGTGTTGTCATAGCAAAATTCCTCATGCACAAGGATGGATTAAATGATAATGAATAATTACGCAATGAAAGCATAAGTTGGCATTAACCTTGATAACAATTGAGGCAAGCATTGCAACGAGGACAATAAGATCAGACCAAGTATATTGACGTACAGACTCGGGCAAAATTTCATTTTTGGTCCATTATATTGACCAATTTTTCAGAAATGGTCCACTAATTTAACAGACATCAAACCTGATACAATAAGTTGTAAAATTCATCATTTTTGGTCCATAAGCATACGTGTCGTTTTATCGGGCGAATACGTGGACAAGTTTGATGTCCGCCACGTAGGCTCCTGTGTGATTAATGGACCAAAAATGATGAATTTTACAACTTATTGTATCAAGTTTGATGTCCGCCAAATTAGTGGACCATTTTTGGAAAATGTCCAATATAATGGACCAAAAATTAAATATGGCCTACAGACTGGTCAGTTCCATGTATATAACTCAAATAAAGGTTCAATACATCGACTGATCAACGGATTTCTAATCGATTTAATTAAAAATTATGAAGGCTCCTCCAAGGTTCCAATGAGGACACATTTGAGAATGTGAGACTCATTACTAACCACTAGATTGGTACACGATGTGTGGCAAAAATTTAACTTTTTATTTAGATAATAATTCTTCATTTTAATTATTTAATTCTTTATTTTTATTATTTAATTATTTAAATATTATTCTGACAATTGACTGTTGATTCTGGCATTGATCGTTGACTTCTGACATTGACTTCCAGCATCGACCGTTGACTTTCTATGCAAATACTGTTGGAAATAAATGAGCCAATAAATTCAAGATTAACAAATTAATTTTATTATTATTATAAATATATTACTCACAATAGCACTCAAGATAAAGTTCACTCTTCTCTCTCAACTCACAATACAATACTCACTCACTTTTTTTATTTTTGCCACTCACAACCACACCACACACAACACTCACTTAATATTTTTTCTTACACTTGTTTTTATCACTCTCTGCACACAACACGAATGATACACACACACACACACACACACACACACACACACACATATATATATATATATATATATATAGCTTATGTTACATTAATTCTTTACTTACTAACAACTAACAACTAACTAACAACTAACAACTAATACCTAATTTTAATTAATGAGTATTAGTTTCTAGAAAATGAGCATTATTTTTTTATTAACACTCCCCCGTAATGCTTATTTTTATAATTTCGAGCTTTTCGTGTTGAGTCTTGGATCTTGGTCTCGGTAGTGACACCGACATCCTCTCGAGTTATGTTTTCTTATCGAACCATTCCAAGACATGTTCGGAACTCATCGAATTTTGAAAATTGAGCCCTTTGGTAAACACATCGGCTACTTGGTCTTCCGTGCCAACGTACTTCATCTCTATCTCCCCTTTGAGCACTTTTTCTCTAACGAAATGATAGTGTACTTCGACATATTTTGTTCTTGCGTAGAGTTTTCTGCTATGCGTATAGGGGATTGATTATCACAATACAACTCTACTGCATAGTTGAATGGCTGATGTAGATCTTTTAGTAATTGCATAAGCCATGTGCTTTCCTGTGCCGCCATTACTGTTGCTCGATACTCGGCCTCTGCTATTGATAGGGATACTGTCGATTGTCTTTTGCTACACCATGATATTGCATCCGACCCAAACTTAAACACATACCCAGTAGTGGACCTTCTCGTACCACCACATCTGGCATAGTCCGCGTCGCAATAGCCAACAATTTTTATATCTTTATTCCTTTGATAGAAAAGTCCATAGTCAATTGATCCTTTTATATACCTTAGTATGCGTCGGACTAACTCGAGGTGTGGCTTCTTTGGTTTCTCCATGAATCGACCTGCAATCCCCACTGCATATGAAATGTCTGGTCGTGTTAGAGTTAGGTAGATTAGGCTTCCGACCAGCTGTTTGTACATAGTTGCATCCTCCAAATCTTTTCCATCTTGAGCACATATCTTGGTGTTTGCTTCAATTGGAGTCGATAACGGCTTGCAGTCAATCATGCCAAATTTCTTAAATAGATCATTAGTATATTTTGACTGACACAATTAAAGACTGTCGCCTTTTTCTTTTAGTTCGAGCCCCAAAAAGTGCTTAAGTTCTCCAAGTTCTTTCATTTGGAATCTCACTAATAAATTCTTCCTGGTTTGTTGGATTTATTCTTCATCGTCTCCAGTGATGATGATATCATCCACATATACTAGCAATATTGCTAGTTTTCTTTCTCGTTTCTTTACGAAGAGGTTCGAGTCTGCTGGTGCAACAGAGTATCCACATTGAATTAAGAATTCAACAATCTTACCATACCATGCTCGTGGCGCCTGCTTTAACCCGTATAGGGCCTTCTTTAATTTGCACACGTAGCTTGGATTCTCCTTATCCTCGAACCCTGCAGGTTGGACCATATATATTTCTCTGTCGAGCTCTCCATGAAGAAATGCATTCTTCACATCCATCTGTCATAATTTCCAGGACTTGCTTGCTGCCAATGCAATAAGTACTCGAACTATTGTGATTTTTGCCACTGGACTAAATGTCTCGTCGTAGTCTAGCCCGTACTGTTGTGAGAATCCACGTGCAACAAGCCAAGCTTTATATCTTTCAATTGATCCGTCAGGCCGCCTTTTTATTTTATAAACCCATTTACAAGATATGGGTTTAACTCCATCCGGTTTGGGTACTAAGTCCCATGTTTCATTTTGCCTTAGGTCCATAATCTCCTCATTCATTGCTTTTATCCATTCTTTATGTTTAATTGCTTCCTCAAATATTTGTGGCTACTTTATACTTGTATCTTCCTCTAAAGCTATATTGGCGTACCTGGGATTTGGCCTCTTTTGTATGGTAGATCTTCGTAGTTGTTGTGGACTTGTCGGTACTTCGCCTGCTTCCTCTCCTAGTGGCTCAATCTCCTCGAGTTGAGTTGGCCTTATCACTTCTGGAGTTACGTCATGTACACCGGTCTGCCACGGACATTGAGTTTTTCTAGGTGGCTCCCCTTCCTCGTCTGATTCTTTCATTCTTTGAGTTGCTTCTAGAAGATTCACCCATTTCTGAAGTTTATGCTCAATTTCTTTAGAATCTGGTAGCTCCGACTTCTGCAGTGTCCACCAAGAAGATGCTTCATAAAAAATCACGTTGCGTGATGTGTAACAATGACCGGTTGATGGATCACAGCATCTCCACCCTTTTCTTTGGTTGTCATATCCCAAGAATATGCATCTGATTGCCTTCTTGTCAAATTTACTCCATAAGTGACTTGGTACGAATACGTAACAAACGCATCCGAAGACTCTGAAGTGGCTAACAGTTGGTTTGATTTTCCATAGCTTTTCGAATGGTGACATGAATCCCAGTTTTGCTTGTGGTAGCCGATTTATTACGTGGGTCGCCGTCTTCATACATTCTGCCCAGAACCTCACCGGTACGTTCTTTGCATGTATCATGCTTTGACACGATTCTGCCAGGTGTCGATTTTTTCTTTCTGCTATGCCATTTTGCTGAGGTGTGTTTGGACACGTCAGTTGATGGTGTATCTTATGCTCTTTCAGAAATTGGGAGAATTCTCTTGATGTGTATTCTCTCCCGTTATCCGTGCGAAGGCATTGGATCTTATCTCCAACTTCTCTTTCAACTGATTCTTTAAAATCTTTAAACTTTGTGAATGCTTCTGATTTTTCTTTAATAAAGAGTACCCAAACGTACCTTGAGAAGTCGTCGATAAATGTCACCATATAGCGCATACCGCTGATCGAAGGTTGTTTAACTGGCCCGAATATATCAGAGTGAATTGTCTCTAGAGGCTTCTTTGCTCTGTAGCTTGAATCTTCAAATGGTAGTTGATGTGCTTTACCATATTAACAGCCAACACATATTGTGTTATCTCTTATCTCCAGTTGAGGGAGACCCTTCAACATTGATTTCTTCATCATCACCTTAAGATAATGATAGCTCACATGCCCCAGCCTCGCATGCCATAAATCGGCCGTTTCATTTTTCCAAGTCTTATCTACATAAGCAGACTCTGCTGACATTACGTAGATGGACTCAAGCTTTCGACCCTCCATGATTGGTGTGCCGATAATTTTGGGATTTTTGTACACCTTGACATTATTGGGTCTGAAAATATCATAATTCCCTGAAGTTGTCAGTTGTGATACTGATAGAAGATTTTTCTTCATACCTAGGACATGGTAGACGTCCTGCAGTTGCACTTGACCAGGACTAAACCGTGGAGTGATGACCGTCTTGCCAATATGGGCTATTGACAACCTTGAATTGTTAGCACTGACCAGCATCCTGCCTCCGTTGTATTCACTTGTGTTCTGCAACTTTTTTTTATCTCCTGTCATATGATTGGAGCATCCCGAGTCCACGATACAATCATTCTCATAATCTATTCGTCTAGGGACAACGGCAGCCATTGCCGTCTCTTCGTTTAAGCTTGATTGCTCTTCTTTACGGGCCTCCTCAGATATAGTTGGGACGATCTCCTCGACTATCGCCATGGATGCCTCTATGTCCCACTCTTCTTCGATGTTATTAGTCTCCTGGTTGTTTGACGTTGCTATACTCCCTTCAACAGCCTTTTTCCTATGCCAACAGTCTCTGGCATAGTGATTCGGCTTGCCACATACGTAGCACGGGCCCTTTTTATTCCCCTTGGACGTTTGATATTTCTTATAATGATCTTGTTGGACCCCCTTTGTTTCAGAGCTTCTTTCTTCCTTTCTAATATATTCCTTTTTGTCTCTTTTATTTTGGTGGTGTGGTCTCATATTCTTTTTATAACTAAATAAAGCTTCATCTTCTTTCTTTAATGAGACTTCCGCCATTTGTCTGGTCAGCGCTTCTTGGTCGGCTAGAATATTTTCAAGATTTACCAAAGAAGGCTGCTCAGACCAGCCTTGTGTAGCGGCTATCATCCCTCTAAATTTGGGTCTTAAGCCATGAATGATAATTCTTCTCATCTTAGCTTCTGAAACATTATCAGTGGGGTCCAATAAAATGATTTCGCGACAAAGAGTTCGTACTTGTTAAAGTAGTCGCGTACCGTCATCTCCCCTTGTTTGAGTGATAGGAGCTCGTTCTCGAGAAGTTGCAGCTTGAACTCATTCTTTTTGGAAAATAATTCTCCCAGAGTGTCCCACGCTTGTTTTGGAGTGCTTGCGTCTCGTATGTGCTCCAACAGCTCTTTGTCAATAGTCTTCTTGAGTGCGTACATGGCCTTTCCCGCCTTTATCTTCCATTTACGTAAGACCCCGGCTTCTTCAGGTGGTGTGGCCTCTTCTCCGCCAACAATTTCCCATAGATCTTGGCCTTGGAGATACGACTCCATGCATGTCCTCCATGTGGTGAAATTTTGATTATTGAGTTTCTCCATTCCGCCTACTGATTGTAGATCCGCCATCGTGACTTGAACTACCTCCTCGTAACCAAGCAAGCCTGACGCGCTTCACAATTTCTTTTAATTGCGCACGATGCCTAAGTACTCAATAATCTCCCCCTAGTTAACGGATAGTGATGAGCCCTGAATATATTGGCACGAGCTTGAACTTTCCAGACGTGGCTCTGATACCACGTGTTGGAAATAAATGAACCAATAAATTCAAGATTAACAAATTAATTTTATTATTATTATAAATATATTACTCACAATAGCACTCAACATAAAGTTCACTCTTCTCTCTCAACTCACAATACAATACTCATTCACTTTTTTTTATTTTATTTTTGCCACTCACAACCACACCACACACAACACTCGCTTAATATTTTTTCTTACACTTGTTTTTATCACTCTCTGCACACAACACGAATGATACACACATATATATATTGCTTATGTTACATTAATTCTTTACTTACTAACAACTAACAACTAACTAACAACTAATTAACAACTAATACCTAATTTTAATTAATGAATATTAGTTTCTAGAAAATGAGCATTATTTTTTTATTAACAAATACCTCGTAGGAAATTAAAGAATATTATAATGTCACGTCATTACTTTATCATACCACGTCAGCTTTTTTTCCAGGTGGGGCGATTACTATATATTTTCCAACCAAAATGTCAATTACATGTTTCTTTCCCGTGAGAGACAACAAAATGTCTCTTTTGTTGAAAACGCCTAACTTGATGTATTTTTGCCTAAACACTTTTAGTACACTCTTGGTTTTTGTACGAATTTTGATTAGAATGACAACTTAGTGGACCATTGTTGACGACGCTCTATATATATGATGGACATTTCTCAGAAAATGGCTAACATAGTAGACTGTATTTTAAATTTTGCCTATGATAATTAGTTACGTTTTATTTTTTTATTTTTTTATTTTAGTCTTTCTACTTTTCTGAAGATGTTGAATTGGAACTCTGTGAGCCTATGGTTGTTCCTGTCCGACTGGCTCACTAGCGTATCACCCCATACGCGCCTCGGTCGACAAACACGAAACAAACCATTCGTAAAGCTCGAGTACCAAGATGCCGTGCGGCATTTGGAAGTACTAAATGTCAAGTCCTCCACCACCACAGGTGGATGGTCACCGAGAAGATGATTGCAGTCGACAGCACTGCACGGTACGTTCAGAGGGCCGCCATTCATCTGCAGAGTCAAATCAATCCGAGACCCACTTAGTGCCTTGAGCACTCGTCTCAGCTTAAGGAACCACCAATTGACACTGAAATCGGGATCATCCGCACGTGAAGAGAGGCTTACACGTGAGTCCCACCTCTTGGAAGTAGTTGTTGCAACAGAGAATGTGTCCGGCGCATGGGGAATATGGGCATTGAATTCAAATCTGACAATGTTCGGGGCACAAATCGTAACTCCTTTAAGCAATATTGTGCCTGTCCAGATGGTCAAGTACTTGACTGAATCACTTGCAAGATGGAATTCCTCGAAACCAGAGCAATTATGTAGGGTCAAGCTCTCCAGAATTGGGCAGCCGAACGATAACAATTTGACCGACTCACTCGACAGGATCACATAATAGAGATGCAAACTAGTGAGACGAGAAAACAAGAATGTGCTTTGGCGGTGAGACCAAATCCATAGGCCCCCGATGCTGACCTTCTCGAGATTCGGGACATCAATTTCAATGTTACGCCTTTCGATCATCTCGTAATTATTCAACACAAAGTAGTTGAGCCCGGGTGATGCCACCTCGTTCAGCCTAACATTTCTCAACCCGTCACAACAATAAAGGACCAGGCTCCTGAGCAAAGGGCAGCCCGACGTTATCTTCTCAATAGTCCCATCATCAACTTGGACATCATTGAGAGTGAGCGTGCACAGACGTTTGAACTGCAAGCTCTCGGGCGGGACCGGGCTCAGCCTGCATTTGCACAGGTGTAGTTCTTCGAGGGACTCGGTCAAGAAGACTGCCAATGGTAGGTCGTAATACGCCAGAGTATATGGAAGAAAGTTGAGTTTGAACGCTTTTATGTTGAGGGCGGCGATTACTGGAATCCATTTGTCGAGAAGGGAGACGACCGGTCGTGAGTCGGGCCTAGATAAGTTAAGACAGAGTTTGTGTACGGAGAGGCTTTGATCACGGTATCCTTGTAGGGTTCGGTCGACGACGGAGACAAACTTTTCTTGTGTGTCGTCGAACCATTCTTCGGACAAGTCGAGGTTTGGGCGGGTTGATCCTATGTGGCGCCATTGTTTGGAGAGTACACAAGTTCTGACAGCTTCTTTCTGGGAGAGGGAACAGAGTATGCGGTGAAGTATAGGTATTGGCAGTTGGGATATTCTGTCGTCCATGGATGCCCAGGTATTCTCTCTTTTTTTTTTTCTCTTATATAAGGCAAGAGTTAATTAAAACACAGTCTTGTAATCGAAAACTTTTCTAATCAGTCTTCTAATTTGACTATGAATCTCTTACAAACATATAAAAACATTTCCAGTCCTTTGGAGTTTGTTAAAAAAAAAAAATGAGTTACATCGAACAGTTTGGTACACAGATATTCCTACTCAGATTTACAAGATTCTCTTCCAAAATTTATTTGTTATTAACACATTTTTAGACACACCTCCCCAAATATTATATTTATCGTTAATAGTAAATTATACTGCAATTTATTTATTACCATCTCAACGTATACTATATATATTATACGGTTTTGCTATGAAAGCAACAGTTAACTCCATAGTGAAGACTACATTCTATATACAATAAGTAAATCATACAATATTAATAAAATTATATTAGTGTTATTTATGTAATCAACGAATATGGTAGGTTTACTTGTTGTATATGGAAGGTTGGCTCTAATTACGAAGCATGATTCTTCGTCAAGTAGGATTCCGAAGCACGAGAAGCAATCACGTAGGCTCAGCACATTCGAGAATTATATATTAGGGGGATTAGGATACATGACAACACACAATTTGTGAATAGCTATGGATGATTTCATAAGCAAAAACACGTGCCTAACTAGTCAAACTGTATAAATATAATCGTATAGCAAAAAACTGTATAGCCATGTGTTTGCAGAATGTTTGAAACAACTTGCCAAACACGTGCCTAGCTGGTCAGACTCAGACAAGTTGGAGAGTAGAAATCAGTCGAATCATCGTCGCTAAGACTATATTTATCCGTGACTTGACTCATGGGTCACAGACAAAAGGACAAAAAGAAAAAAAAAATAGAAAATAAAAAATAAAAAATAAAAAGCAAAAAAGCTCATGAAATGTAGCAACCCATGTCACATTGTGACCTTGGGTCGCGACCCAATTAGTGGATAAAAATGTGAATTTGTTCAATTTTTTATTGAATAAGTGTATTTTTTCTGTTGAAAAAAATAATAAAAATACTAAAATTCGTATTTTTTCATTCTCTACAAATATATCACATTTAATAGATTTTGGAATATAATTGTAATTTTTAGATAAATATAAATATATAAATATTTTAGGTTGTGTTGAGTTGTGGATAAAGATAAAAAGTTGGGTTGTATAGATGGAGGAAAGAGAAATAATTTTTAGAGAAATTTATACCGTGTAAGATAAATTTAATTTTTTATTACATTAATGAGACCATGTCATAAATAATAGAATTCAACTAGCTAGAGACTTTTTATTTGCAAAACTACCATATCAATAAATAATTAATTTACATATGTGATCAATTATTGGAGTAATTAACAGAAAACCTATCACCTTCCTAAAGATCACGGCACTTTCTCTCTCTCCCTCTTTTCTTCTTCTTCTTCTTCTTCTTCTTCTTCTTCTTCTTCTTCTTCTTCTACAACTTTACGCATAAAATTTTCTCTCTTCATACAGTTGAAATTTTTAATTATTTATTTTTTTATCAATCGAAGACAGGCGACCCACGGCCTGGATGAACACATGGTCGGCGGATCGATGGATTGACGGACTAGCCGAGAGTAAGACGACCCTAAGCCCCAATTGGCGACCACCAAACCGAGGAGGCATGCTGGCCCTCCAACAACCGGAGAGCGGTTCGCTGGCGCTAGCCCTACAGTTAAGCTTGGGGAAGGCGGCGTGGACTAAGGTTCTGATGGAGGATTTGATCGCGGCCTAGAGGTCAGGGAAAAAAGGGGGCGGGCCGGGGTCCTCAGATTCATCGATCCCGCCGACGTCGGGGGAAACTTGTGTTTATTCGATTTTTTTTAATAACGATCTTTTTTCATTGTTTTGGTTTTATTTTAGTTTACAATATATGTATGATCAATGATTGATGATGTTTCATCTTTTTGGAGAATTTTTTTCGTTTGATTTATTATGTTGTGGGATATGTTGCGTATATATACAATATATTTTTCAATATATGCTCTCGTAACTACAATCGACAGTATATGTTGGGTGTATAGACAGTATATGTTCAGTATATGCTTTCATTTTTCGTGTTTCGTGTGTTTATTATCTGGCCCGTGCTTCATTTGTTTATCATATACTCTACCTACATATACTAAAATAATTTATTAAAACACTGATTATGATCAGTTTATGATATGTATATGATGTGTTATATATTGAACAAAATTTCAAATATCACAATTATGGTTAAATAAAATGCTGTTGTAACAACAAATTTTATGAAAAACATAAAATTTATGTACAACTTGATTTATTTTGATCAAACGATATGTGGGTACAATCTCTATTTATCTCATCTGATTCTTCTCTTCATTAATTTGGGATTGAGACCTTGAAAGATGGATTTGACGATTGAATCTCCTTCGGGCTTAGTCTTGAATTTCTCTAACATTAATTTGGGAGTCGAATGACTTATTCCCGTATTAAATGTTAGCCTTGACTTGATTGAATATGACTTCTTGGAATACTTGATTATTTGAACTTCTTGAAAAAGGGACTTTGACTTGAATAACGTTGATTCGGGGGCTTGATAGCTTTTTCCTGGCTCAAACGCTATGTTGGTTGAACTTCTCAACGAACGCGGCTTGAATGTCGCTTGAACGTCGTTGATAGGAAAGTCGTCTCTTTACTTCTTGAGGAAGACCCGCCACCTCTTTTTCTTCTTCTTGGCCTTCTTCTTCATTGAATGGACTTCGGGCGGTTCTTCAAGAACTTCTTCAAATCTTCAAGAGGGTTCTTGAGAACTCTTGAATTTGAGACTTTAATATTTGAGATGTGTTTGATATTTTTGAGGTGTTTGAGGTGTGTTTTGTGGCATTAGGGAGAGCCCTATTTATAGGTTTAGGAGAGAGAGTCTTGGAAAAGAAGACATCAATTTGATTGGTCCTTCATGATTTGACATAATCTTTTTCTTTCTACTAAGAGTTGATATGATCTCTTTCTTTATCATAAGATTTGACTTGGTGGGCAAGAAATAATAACTTTATTAATTAAATATCTTATTTATCTTGGATTTATGTCCCAAAATAAATAAAGACATTAATTAATAAAATATTAAAATTTCAATGTCTACAGCTGTATAAATAAAAAAATCAGGTTATATACTAAATATATACTGATTATAAACGAAATATATACTGTCTATTCGAAAAATGAGTACGTTTGAATATTCTGAGCATATGCAAATATCACAATTGAACAAATTACTAATTAGTAGATAATATACACTTACCTTTTTTTTTTCAGAAAAAAATCTCACACATGCGTGATTATAGGAGACGTGGAGAGATGTAGAATCTTAATTACTTTGGTAACGGATATTTAGCCTCAGCAAAACTACATGCACTTCAAAAGGTAATCATGCAAATAAGATTTCTCTCTCCGTACATATGCAATATATTTAAATTCATGTGGTAAATAAGAAAATTTCTCATTTTAATTATTGGGTTGGGCTGGGTTGGGTTGTTGATAATGATAGTCCAAGACCTTCTCCAACCTATTCGCATAACGCAAGAAATGAGGGGAATTTGCGCCAATCTATCTGCAAATCCCATCGCAAAATCCATTTTTGGCCTTCTCTCTCCTCGGTGAAACGCAATTTTGCGTTCAACGCAAATATTTTGCGTATGAACTTTTAATAATTGCAAAGTGATCCATTATTTAGTATAAATTAGATATCAACCAAATATTATATATTATATATATAATATATATGTATTTTATATATTGTATTTAGTATTATTAACTATTGTTTGTTTTATTATTTTTTATTATTATATATTAGTATATTTTGTAAAAAACTTACAAACAATATTAATATTTAAAAGGCTTATTTAACACATAAAAAAGACATTTATATTACCAAATTAATGAATATGAATTAATATTTTTTCATAACGATCATAATATTATAATAATGTAAAATATTAAAATAATTAATTTCATAAAAATTAGATAGTATAATATTTTAAATAATAGATATTATGTTTAACATTTAATTTTATACGTATGTGATAATAATGTAAAATATACATATTAATTACGGTAGTTGTATTTAACAAGAAAGAAAAAACACTAATAAATATTTATATTGTGCGTTATTATTTTTAATTTTATCTTCTGCTTTGTAATATTTTATTTTATCTTGTGTGTTGTATTTTTTTTTATTTTCATCTTGTGCGTTGTACTTTTTAATTTTATTTGTGTGATGTAATTTTTAATGAATATTTATTTTTATGATTTTATTATGTATAATTAATTTTATTACATAATGTCTAATTAAATTTTAAAAAATAGTGTGGTTTAATTTGTAAAGTTATAAAATATATGGGTAGTATTGAAAAATTATAAAAGTTGGTGTAAAGGAGAATATTCTGAAAATATTCTTTTGGATTTGAATATGAGTTTTTAGGTTGGAGATAATTATTGCAAAATATGACATTTACTACAAAATAGGTTTGAATATGAGTTTTTCGGTTAGAGATGCCTTAAAAATACATAATAACAATTTATGGGGAGAAATCACCTCTAATTTACTCTACTGAAAGGGGGTGAATTTTAGGGTTCATATCCAAGATCTGCAAAAATCTTCTTGATCAGCCATGGAAAATCAGCCGGCGAAAAGAAAAAAAGCTTGTCCCAACTCCGGTGACGGCAGAATCTCCGAACTGCCACAACCCTTATTGCACAACATTCTCGCTTTCCTCTCCCAAGAGGAGGCGACCAGAACCAGCGTTTTGTCAAAATCATGGCGTTCTATTGGCCCTACTCGCCCCAAAATCGAGTTTAATGAAGCGTGCTACGAAGGGAACCATGAAAAGTTTCTGTCCAATTTGGACAGCACGCTACAATTTTACCATGGCCGGGAGATTCGCTTGCAAGAATTTATACTGTGTGTAAGCAAAATTAATACTGATTCTGTTTCTCTTCTTGAAAAATGGGCGTTAAGAGGTTTCATCTGATTTCCACCTCGAGCTACTTTGCCTTGCCGTCGATCATCTTTGAAGCTGAAGCCCTTGAGGAAAGTACTTTCTAGGCATCTTCGGAAAGTTTCCTTCTCTTTGGTCGACATTGAAGACAAACATTTGCAGAAGATAATGTCGAATTGCCCCATGATCGAGCAATTGGCCATTGAGGCCTGTCATGGTATCACAACCGTTGAGGTTCATAATGATAATCTCAAACACTTTGAATACCGTCGTTCGGTGACCTGTTATGAAGGCACTATCAAAATCGACGCTCCAAATATAGAGAGCATCAAGATTGTGGGACGTTCGAGTTGGCTTCACAATGGGAAGACCTTCGTGTGTCTCAAGTCCCTGCTTCTGGAATATGTGGTGCTCACCCAGAAGGACTTCGATAGCTTCTCGGTTGATTTTTGCTGTCTTGAGGATTTGAAAATACACTTCTGCAGGGGCTTTGAAGAATTCCAGCTCTCAAGCCGTTCGATTAAGCGGTTGCATCTTGCGGTGGATGGCCCCACCAAGGCAGCTATTGACCTCCCGAATATACGTTGTTTTGAATTGCTTTGTGATGATTTCCCCTCAATCACATTGACAACGAATTCCAGTGAGTGGAGGTCACTAATACTCTTGAAGCAACAACTGATTACTAAAAGTGAAACTTCGTTGTTTTATGTCAAGTTAAATGAACTGCTCCGGGCATTGAATCATTCTAGGATTCATCTGCACATGAGGGACTTTCCTCTGGAGGTACTACATGGTTATGGGAATTTTGGAGAACCTGCTGTCATTGAAAGCTTGGCTGTTGCTTACCGTCATTCATGTTCTTCCCTTGAAGCTTCTTTAAATTATTTTTTTGGTAGATTTCGGCCGAGATACATAGAACAGTCTGTCTATCCTCTTTCAGTGACTAAAGAGTATGAAGATATCATGGCTGAAATATATGCATATGAAGAGGAGGCTAATCGCTTATTCTTTCAATGGTATGCCGCACGAGCGGCTGAAGAGTTTGGAATAGAAGATGAAGTCATGAATTTGCCAGCAGTTCCAGAGACCAATGAGAATGCAGAAGCCAACGAATTCATTGATCGTTTGTGGATCTTCCTCATGAAGAAAGAAAGCGAGGACCGCATTTGGCAGCAGGATTTAGAGGAAGTAAGTGTGGAGACCTAATGTCGGAATGGAGTCGAATGGCGTTGTGTGCAAAGAGAGAATTTACCCCAACTGGCGTTGCCGAACAATGATGATCAAAAGATACGCTTTCAACTGAAATGGAGAGAATGAGTCATCTTGCCTAGTTAGTATGAGTATGCATCGTAACGCTTGAGATGCTTCTTTTGCAAGTAATTAGTTTAGGTAACTTGTGGTTTTGGTAAGTAATTAGTTTCAGGAACCTGTGGTTTTGTAAGTAATTAGTTAAGTAACTTGTGGCTTTGGTAAAGTAATTGTAATGCCTGTTTTGTATTATCTACTGTATGGGGAATTAAACTTATGTGCTTGTTTTGTATTATCTACCGTATGGGGACAAGAAATTAAGTTTCGAATTTTGTTGTTTGCTTTGCTTATTCAGCTGTGATTGGTGTTCTGCTAATGATAAAATAGTTCCTTTTTTTTATTGAAGTGATACGTTGCTTGCTGATTCTTCTGCTGGTTATGGAACATTGTTGAACATTACGGAATCACCCAAGCAGGGTACAGGCAAGCAGTTACAGGATGAGTTGAACAAGCCAGAAAAAGGATCTGCGGGTAATGATCTACTGTCTTAAAAAAGGCAAGTCCAAGGAAGGACTGCAGCTTTCCCGAGTGGAAGAGGTTCAATTCAATAGTTCCGACTCTGACTTTGAAGCCCGGCCGGGTGAAGAAGCCTCAGCACGAGCTTTGACTATGACTAGTAGCTGTTGGGATCACATTCGAGGAGGTCAAGTCGGGTTGAATAGATGAGTGTCCCTGCTAAGTTTGGGTCTTGTCATACCAATATCTGTTAAAAAAAGTTTTGTTGTGTTAGTAGTTTATTGTTGTGCTTTAATCATGTTAATATTATTAATGTGTTGTTTAATACATTCTGTTGTATTAAAAACAAGAACAAGGAGTGTTTATATATCACCTAGAATAGCTTGGTGGACCGGCCTTTGTATTTAGCTCGAGTTCAGCCGGTCTAAGGGAGTCTTGCTTGGTTCCGAGAAGCTCACTCATGAGCTTAATATAGGAATAAATTTGTTTAGAGATATAGTATGCTGACAAATTATCTTGATAAAAATCAATATAAAAATAAATGACTGTTATGAAAATAAATGGCAGTTATGAGACTTAATGAAGTTATGGTTTAAGAATATTCAAAAATTTTGTACAAAGGAAATTTTAGGACTTGGAGTCTAAGAAGAAACTGAGAAATTGGTTCAAGAGCCTAAGATAAACTGTATAAACAATAATTCAATATGGAACATACATTAGTATTCTACAAGAAAGGCACCATGTAGATTCAAAGTTCAAACGAGTTGAACTAGCCAAGGTCTGCTCACAAAAATGTGACCAACGGGTTTTCGCTTTCACCGTAAGTCGCTAATGTTTCCAAAGAATGAAGTAACGATGTAGATAGTTTGCAGCACTTATGCCGTCTTCTGATCTCTCCACTTCAAATTAAGGCACATTATCCTGTCATACGTCCTGTTTCTCAATTCCGACTGGTTCGTCCACTGCACAAGCTGCCATATCTTCCCATCGATGGTTTTCACGTGAACTTGCTCCAGTTGGTGCTGCCAAGAGTAGGGCTCAGTCTCCGGGCTTTTGTTTGCAAGCAAGATGTTGATATGAAACTCCAAGAGCCTGCTGTTCCTACAACCCCATATGAGCCTCGGTCGACAAACACGAAACAAGCCATTCATAAAGCCCGAGTACCAAGATGGCGTGCGACATTTACGAGTATTAAGTGTCAAATCCTCCACCACCACAGGCGGACGGTTACTGAGAAGATGACTGCAGTCGACAGCACTGCACGGCACGTCCAGTGGGCCGCCGTTCATATGCAGAATCAGAGAAATTCGAGACCCTCTTAGTGCCTTGAGCAATCGTCTCAGCTTATAGAACCACAAATTGACGTCGAAATCTGGATCATCCTCACATGAAGAAGAGAGGATTACATATGAGTAGCACTCCTTGGAAATAGTTTTCGCAATAGAGAATGTGTCTGGCACCTGGGGAATACCGGCATTGAATGTAAAACTGAGAATGTTCGGAGCACAAATCGTAACTCCTTTAAGTGGTATATTTCTTGTCGAGATGCGCAAGAACTTGACCGAATCACTTGCAAGATGGAATTCCTCGAAACCAGAACAATTATCTAGGGCCAAGCTCGCAAGAGTGGGGCAGCCGAACGATAACACGTCGAACAACTCACTCGACAGGATCACACTATTGAGACTCAATCTCGTGAGAGAGAACCATAATGCGCTTTGGCGGTGACACAAACGCCATGGGGCCCTTATGGAGACCGTCTCGAGATTCGGTACATCGATTTCGATGCTACGCCCTCCAATTTTCTTGGAATCACACAACTCAAAGTGCTTGAACCCAGGCGATGCCGCCTCGCTCCCGCTCACCCTAACGATTCTCAACTCCCAACAACTATTAATGACCAGGCGCCTGAGCAAAGGGGAGCCCAACATATTCGTATCGAAAATGCCGCCATCAACTTGGACCTGTTCGAGGGTGAGCGAGCGCAAACTTTTAAACCGCACGCTCTCGGCCGGTCTCAGCCTGCATTTGCGCAGGTGTAGTTCTTCGAGGGACTCGAAGACTGCCGAGGGTAGGTCGTAATACGGCAGAGTATATGAGAGAAAGGTGAGTTCCAATGCTTTTATGTTGAGGGCGGCTAATATCGGGACCCATTTGTCAGGAAGGGAGACGACCGGTCGTGAGTTGGGACTGGATAAGTGGAGATGGAGTTTGTGTATGGAGAGGTTTTGATCAAGGTATCGTTGCAGGGTTCGGTCGACTACGGAGACAAAGTTTTGTTGTGTACCGTTGAAGAATTTGAAGAATTTTTGGGAAGAGTCGAGGTTGGGGCGAGTTGATCCATTGTTGCGCCGCCATGGTCTGCATAGGAGGACAGAGAGAATGCGGTGCCGTTTGGAGCGTTCTTTATCACGGCAACGTTGTAGAGTAGTTCGGTCGACGACGACGACGGGGACAAACTTCTTTTGTGCATTGTTGATCAATTTTTCGGAAGAGTCGTCGAACCATTCTTCGGAGAATTGGAGGTTAGGGCGGGTTGATCCTATGTGGCGCCATTGTTTGGAGAGTATACATGTTCTGACAGCTTCTTTCTGGGAGAGGAAACAGAGAATGTGGTGAAGTATAGGTATTGGCAGTTGGGATATTCTGTCGACCATGGCTGCGGATGTACTACTCTTCACTTTTTCTGCATTTTTTATTATTATTATTATTATTTATTTAAGGCAAGAATTTATTAAATAACATGAGTTACACAGTTTTTCGAAAATCAAGAACTTTTTCAATCAGACTTCTAACATGACTATGAATCTCTTAGAATATATATAAAAAACTCTCCCGATTCCGTGACGGGACGGTAGCATTCTCCTGTTTATTATTTACACAATTTTTTCCCCATCTCAATCACAAATCCACTATTTTATATTTATCGTTAACAGCAAAAGAATTTTAATTGCAATTTATTTGTTATTAACAAATTTTTAGATACATAGAACCAAAATATTATATGTATCGTTAATAGCAGATTTGATTGCAATTTATTTATTATCTCAACATATATTATATGTATATATTATATTTATCGCTATGAGTCCAAAAATATCAGATAATCACATTAATAAACAAACACTATTTACAACATAAAAACATCAAATACGACTTATTTGAAATCCTTACACATGAAACAAACAAACACTACTTACAACCAGTTGATCTTCTACAGTATAAATAATTTTAGTCTCTCTTTGTTTCAGCCAGCTGCACAGTCTCATGGGCCTCTTGCCGAGTGCCTCCCTTCATGGCTCGCCAGGTTCCGATCATGGACATACATCAGCTTTGAATTCCACTCGACCACATATAACTGACTGGCTCGCCAGGTTCCGATCATGGACATACATCAGCTTTGAACCGAACTGGCTCGGAATTACTATGGCCTTTGCGCAACTCTCGGCACTTAGCATAGGCATTAGGTTTATATGCACCTCCGATTCAGCACAATTCGAATAACACAGCAAATAACTAAAACAATAATAAAGAGTGTTAGATATAGCACCTAAAATAGCTCGATGGACCGGCCTGAGTATTTAGCTCGGGTTCGACCAGTCCAAAGGAGTCATACTTTGGTTTCGGTGCTCGATATGGCCATGAAGCTCACTCATGAGCTTAATATAGGAATAAATTTATTTAGACACCATAACTCCATAAGTCAATATGAAACATACAGTAATATGATTATAAAAGAAAGACACCATTTAGATTCAAGTAAAGAGGTATAGCTCCAAACGAGTTGAACTATCCAAAGTTTGCTCACAAAAATGTGACCAACAGGTTTTCGCTTTCACAACGAGTAGCTAATATTTCCAATAAATGAAGTAACAATATGGATAGTTTGCAGTACTTAAGCCGTCTTCTGATCTCTCCATTTCAACTTGAGGCACATTATCCTGTCATACGTCCTGTTTCGCAATTCCAAAAGGTCCGTCCAGTCCACGAGCTGCCATATTTTCCGATCGATGGTTTTCACGTGAACCTGCTCCAGT